CTACAATTGGGCATAGCAAAGAGTGCAGATTTATGTGTTAGGCTAGCCTGCATAAAACCCACAAGAGATAACAGCCTATTCTTTTAAACATCCTGATTAAATAGGAAACAGGTCAAGGTTCTTTCAATCTGAGTTTTTAGGGCTGTTTTACAGCATTGCAATAAAATCTGAAGCAAGATGAGTGAAATGTGTGAGTTAAATAATAGCATGCTTAAAGTAATATTAAAGATAACATTTTGGAGAAAGAAAAACATCTAAGACTTCTATACACTTTTAAAGTTTTAAAATGTCATTTTCATTCCAAGAATGACTGTAATTTTCAGTCCAAGATGACTTCCACATGTTCTGCTCCTAATGTTTATTTGGAGCTCTATTTGCTGACTGTAATAACACTTATAATGTTTTATTATTATGACTTGTTTTTCTTTTTTTCCTTCCCCTTTTCTGATAATTATGGAGCTACATACCCATCAAACCCCCAGTTTCTATTACATAGGTGGCATATTTGAGATATGTACCAATAGAACATTAAAGAAAATCACACCATTAACCTCCTTCTTTTCACTCATACATAAAATAAAACATTAAACTTTTCTTATAAATGAATAAATGTGAAATCACTGACAGAATTAATACACAATCTGAATGTCTGAATATATTGAGAGAAAATGCATATGTGAGAACATAATCTTTTACTAACTGGAACGTGTCAAATACTGCATAAGAAGTCTGGAGATTTCTCTGTAGTAAGCCTGGTAAATGTAAATTACTGAAATCAAAGCCTACAGACCTATTTTCATTAACAATTTAGACAGTAATCCTCTAATTTAGATATTCGTTGGATATGTCAGTGTGTCAAACCCAAGTTCTATCTCTGCATGAGTGGAAGCACCAGACAAGTGACCCCCACATTGGCTTACAGGTCCTTTTGTATTAGTCCAATACAAAATCTGAATGCTCAAATATTTGTATACATTTGCTATAGAGACAGTGACTTATCTAATGCCATTGCATGAGTGCTTGTGCAGCACCCTAAGCTATTAACAGGATACAAGCTAGACTAATGGCTACTGAGCTGTGATTGCATTCGTAAAATGTAAGGCCAACCCACCCAAAAACCTAGTCAGTCCACTCACCCACCTGATGACTTACAGCGCTCAGGCCATGGGTTTATTGATGAGTGGGTGAGAAGGTACCTGGGTATATTCCTTCACACAGGATCTTCTGGATCTCTGCATTTTTAAAACTGGGTTTATTGATTCATACTGCAGAGAAAAAAAAATGTCATTGAATACATTTCTCATCCAGCAATGTGTGCAATAATGGGTTTGACACCTCATGAATACTTTTTGAGGCTCATCTCTGGTGTTCTTACTCTGGTCTTGGGAACCAAACAGGAATACCAATGTTCTTGCTGCATCTGGTCTAGTGAGTGAACGCTCTTTTCAGTACAGAAATGAAGGATAGTGCATTCTCTGTCTTTAGTACAATGCAGCCGATGAATAGAACCTCCTCCTTTACTCACCCCTACTCATCTGCTCATCTCTATATACTTACTGTAACTATGGATCTGGGATGAAAATAGTAGTTTAAAGTGTAATTGATTGAAATATACATGTAAAGAAAAAAAAAGACTTCTCAAAGAACCTAATCTCTTTTGTTTCTTTAGTTAATTGTTGTTTTATCTCAGTGAGTTTACTCTCACTAAATTTCAACCTGTGGAATGGAAACAGAAGCTCACCAAGCCAGGTTCTAAACAAGTTTGACACATACAAATATAGTCAGAGAAATTTAAAAACCCAGAATAGCAAACCAGCAATTTTTGGTACAACTGAAGTCACATTGCAACATCAAAATTTTTTTCAGCTAAGATGCTGAAAAACATCATGGTTCTGTACTGAAAGAAAATAACAAACTAAAACCCTTCAAGTGCATTTTTGGCTTTTTTGTTTGTTTATTCGTTTTGGGGTTTTTTTTGTCCTGGAGCAGGCAAAACCATTTACTAGTGAAGATGCAAAATATAAATTTAATATGTGTAAGCTACAGGAATGGTGGTTATGCCAACTGTGATTTATTGTATACCAAAGAATATATATATATATATATGCAGAGGTGTGGGGAAGCCACCCACTGAAATATCCATTCTGTATCCATATTTCAGTTCTCAGAGATTCATACTTCCAAGCATTAAAGCTCAAAGACTTGTCTCGATGAACAGCTTTTTATGGACTTTTTATATTTATGCATAATGTGACTCGAGTAGCTGTCAGTCATCTTCATTTATCCTCTCTCTTTGTATTGTTGTGTATATTTTACCTGCTTTAACTCAGTGTACGTTTTCAGAATTTTAATATGCCCAGGGATAAGGGCTGGGAACAGCAAAAATGTGATTCAGGAATGAACACCCTATAGTCTGGAAAGTACAGCTTTTCCTGATATTATGTGCTATAGACTTTTGCCTGCATCATTGATCCTCTCAGAAGGAATCCTAGTCTTATTGCTGCTGATTTGGTGAATGTAGATAGATGTAGTAAAGGAAGATATTTCAGCCGCAGGCAGCAAGAACAGGGATTTGAGGCTGATAACTTCAATTTTGCTCTGACAGAGTTCAGCTGACCCAGAACAGAGATGCCAATGCTCTGTAAACCCTCTCCCACACAGAAAGGGGTGTCTGCATATAAACAGTGTGATATAAATGTGCTTGGCTTTTGCTACCTCCTGTACTGTGCCTGAAAATTTCTAAGGAGAATGATATCTGGGCGGCCAAAACCCTCTGAGGTTGTTTTGCAGTGTTTATAACAACACTGCTCAGCTACATGCAACTATCCCCTTGCACTGTTTCACCTCCTGGCATGGAAGCAGCTAATATTGCCTCTGCCTTACTCACACAGAGGCATATATAGATAAGCCTACAAAATGGTTCATGTTACAGTTACCCAGGGGAGGCCATCTCTGCCTAGCATCATTTTGGGTCACTTCTGAATTCACATAATTTCAGACATGTATTTTTCAAATATACATAGATCATTATATGTGGTGCTGTTATACATCTGTGAAAAACACACAGAATCATACAATAGTTAGAGTTGGAAAGGACCTTAAAGATCATCTAGTTCCAGCCCCCCTGCCATGAGCAGGGCCACCACACACTACACTATGTAGCACAAGGCTCTGTCCTACCATGACTTCGAGCATTCACAACTTCCTCGAGCAGCCCATTCCAGTGCCTCACCACCCTCACTGTGAAGAACTTCTTCCTTATATCTAACCTAAAGTTCCCCTGTTTAAGTTTAAACCCATTACCCCTTGTCCTACCACTAGAGTCCCTAATGAAGAGTCCCTCCCCAGCATCCTTATAGGCCCCCTTCAGACACTGGAAGGCTGCTATGAGGTCTCCACGCAGCCTTCTCTTCTCCAGGCTGAACAGCCCCAACTTTCTCAGCCTGTCTTCATCAGGGAGGTGCTTCAGCCCCGTTATCATCCTCGTGGCCCTCCTCTGGACTTGCTCCAACAGCTCCATGTCCTTCTTATGTTGAGGACACCAGAACTGTACACAGTACTCCAAGTGAGGTCTCACAAGAACAGAGTAGAGGGGCAGGATCACCTCCTTTGACCTGCTGGTCACGCTTCTTTTGATACAGCCCAGGATACGGTTGGCTTTCTGGGCTGCAAGCGTACACTGAAGCTGGCTCATGTCAAGCTTCTCATCAACCACCACCCCCAAGTCCTTCTCAGCAGGGCTGCTCTGAATCTCTTCTCCGCCCAGCATAGTGTATAATGAAACAAACACTCCTTTGTGATTATATGCAACATTCAGACCTGAAAAGATGATATAACCCTCATTCATCCTCTCTTATGTTATCTATCTCTTTTGAGAGGCTTCTTGTTTTAAAGCTGAGGTTCAGTAGTTTCATTTTCTGTGTTCTATGCACAAAGCACGTCTGGTCTCTTTGTTGAAAGAAGTTGTGTGATCACTGATGGCTGCAAAGGAGTCGGGTTCCTACAACTTTCTGCTGTTTTTAGTCTTAGTTTGATCCAAATCTAAATTGTGCACTGGACAATCTCAGTCTCTGGACTAAACTTATGACTGACTTAGGAATCTTAAATAAGGGTGCTTGGATACAAATGCTTTGAGGTGAGAAGGAGAGGGGATCTACCTCAGCACTGTTGTAGAAGTTGAGAATCCTTCCTTTTGCAGCCACTTTGATATTGAGAAGTGTACAACAAATCCTGTGTTCACAGACTGCCACTTGCAAAGACAGTAGTGGTGGCTTTCTAGCACCGAGGACTTGCAAAAGTAGTAGCTGATATAGGAATATTTCTTGTTCCCAAATATCAGCCAAAACACTGGATGTAATCTGTCCCCATGGTGATAAGCATATATTTTCACAGTATAAAGAGCTGTCAAAACCAAGCATTTGCATGTTAAATATTGTTGAGCATTGGAGTCTGATAGCTTACCGATTGGTTGAAAATCACCATTTTCAATTTTTTTTCATTGCAGGCTGAAAAAGCAGAAGGATTTATCAGACTTCCGGACTTTAGTGTGGACCGAGCAATTGAATGCAAAAAAAAGCAGTAAGTTTATCTCTTGCATCCAATTTTGCATGATTTTTACAACATTGCAAGGAATTGAGTCTCAGTAGTGCCTGACAATGAAGCTGTGGGGAGTTCTTCTGTGTTGTATTAATAATGAGACATTAATTGAGCTACTGAAAGAAAACCATATTGCAAAAATATTTTTGAAAATACTCTGCCAGATGTGCTCTGTTAAAACTACAAATAAAAAAGTAGATCAGTATGCCAAATGCTTTTTCCCCCCTCCTCTTTGTTCACTGATTGCAAGTAAGTTGCAGTCCATCTCAGATACCTTCTCTTAGGTGAGAAGGTCAGCAATGGTGCACGTAATGCTGGTTCCCTCCAACTCAGAACTATTCTTTAGGCTTCAATGGTGCAACTTTGTGCTGTACTTGAAGCCTTTGATTGTGCAGGGGATACAAACCTTGCTTGGCTTGGTACACATTTCAAAATATTCTCTCCAAACACCATATGCAGCACTGACTTCCAGCTGTTTTTGAGTACACTTCAAAGGTTTGGAGGGGTGTTGCTGGTGTTCAAAGTTACAAAGCTCAGCATGGTTTTATACTGTCCCTCAAGAGAAAGCTTCTGTACTTCTATTGAGATCTCACACTGTGATTAGCTGCAGGTGTTCCTGAGATTAACTGTGGGCTTGACTCCTCCAAAGAAAGGGGACATCTAGTTTCAATATGGGGAGCTCTATTTTATTTTCTCAAAGTTGAGTCATATAGTACAGGACCATGGGAAAATGTTGCCCTTCACTTCTGCAGCTGTTGGCTGTAGGTGATTGCAAGAGAAACGTGCATATCACTTATTTGGGATAGGGTAAGTTAGGAGAGCTGTGAGGAGTGAGCAGTGCTGCTGGGTCATCTGGGTGTGCTTCCATGGCATAGAGTAAGTTGTCTAATGAGGAACAAAAGAGGGAAGCCACACAGTCTCTGGATCGAAGATTGTATTTTAGGAAAAAAAACCCTAACCAAACAAAAAAGACTGAAAGGCTTACTGGTGGATATTCAACTAAAACATAGTCAGGAGACTATCTCCATTTTGTTTGTTTCAAGCCTGCCACTTAGTTGCCTTTTTGGTGCCCCCTAAAACTTGTTTTTGAAAAGTCAGTGAAGAGTCAGTCACTCTTCACCTGCTGCATGCCACTTATGATTTTATTGTATCGTATGTCCCTTCCTTCAACCATCAGTTTTCCATGCTGTAGGGTCTTAGCCTGATTAACCACTCATGGAAGCTGTTTCATACATTGGGTCACCCCTGGTGCTTTCTTGGAACCTTTTTTAAGTTTACTTTGCTTTTCAGAGCTGCAGGAAGAAAAACTTCACACAGTATTCGAGATGTGGGCATGCAACAGAATTATCTAATGGAATAATGGAAGTCTTTCTTTTATTCTTTCTTCTTTCTTTTTTAGTTCCTGTAGTTTATATCCTCTGAATAAAGTCACCTAGGAAATAAGCTAAAAATACACTGGAGTTTTAAGGAAAGAGCTATTTGGATGGATAAACTGATCCAGGTTAATATAGTGGAGTGAATAAATATTTTAAATAATTAATTCAGCTATTATTTTTTGTTTCTTATGTAAACTAGTTTTCTTCATATCTCTTCTATTTTTCTTTTCCTGAAGTGCTATTAAGATCAGCCACCCACAGATCAAGACATTTTATTTTGCGGCAGAAAATGTTCTGGAAATGAACACGTAAGTAGGAGTGACTGGCCATGTTACATCCTGTCTCATGCCTGAGAACACCCTTTGAAATTTCATTCTCTCCCTGTCAAGTGGTTGTTGACAATGTTATTCAGGGAATTACTAAGTCTGTTTTATTTTCTGGTAACCGTATAAAAGGAACCTACTGCTATTTGTTCACTAATGACAGCTGAAATCAAAATTACATTATTAGCCTGATTTTGATACTAATCTTGATGACATTAGAGAGGTGCTAAGATTTGATAGCAAGTTCATCACCTTAGGACAAGTAAGGGAAGAAAGCAAAGAGAGGGAAAAGCTTAATATAGTTTTGTCCCAGAAGTGATCTAGGACTACAAAATGGTAGTGTCTGCTTTGAGTAGCATGTCAGTTAACAGGGAAGGTTACAGGGATAGAAATGGACGATTCTTTAATGTATGTAAACATTTACTCCAATGCCAAACTATGTTGCAGTTAATCGATCCTCATGACAGATCAGCAATTTTCTTTCCACAAATGTCCGTAAGAACAATAATTCATCCATGCAGTTTTTAATCAAGAAGTAAAATGGATAAGAATACTGCCCGTTTAGAAATCACTGAGCTATCAGAAATAGATATTCCATGCGACTGATCCAGTTTTGGCTGATTTGTATACATCTCATATCTATCTTCTTTGGTTTTTTTTTACTTCAGATTGCAGTCTGTTCACAATGTTATTGCATTAAATGGCCAAATACAGATACAAAGCTATATAATCTAAATGGGAAGAGAGCTCCTTTCTTAATCCATGATTTTAATCATGGCTCTGCTGGTGATCTTTGTGAGAGTCTTCATAGGGCATTTACTGTTCTTTCCCTCTATAGGCAGGAGACCTCATACATATTTACCACAGCAGAAAATGACAGAGGTTGAAAGAATGTGTGTGGCCTACCAAAATGGCTATAGATAGAGATGTACGATACTACAGTAGTGTATGCATATTTATCTGTGTTCATAAATCTGTACTCTATAGATGCATACAGGTAAATGTAGATGGAAAGAACATGTCGCCATGTAGATAGAAAGAACATGTTGCCCATTGCAACTTGGAGCAGCACAGAGTGTACTGGTGGAAAGATAACCATCCGTTCTTGTATTGCTGTGTTTCCTACCAGAGCTCCTGAACAGAGTGAGAAGTTCGTGAGGCAGATGGGCTGAGCAGGACTGAGAATGAGGGACTGATGGACAGAAATATTTCTGTAGTTGAGAGAATAGGGAGGGAAAGATGAAGGGAGAAGGAAAAGGAAAATTAGAGCTGATGGAGGACATTAGTGAGTGCTAACAGCCAGTTTGGAGCCCAGCTGGAAATTCTCAGTGTCCTAATGGCACTTTTGAAATGTTTAGTCTTATGTGAGTGAGTGATTGAACTGTATGCAGGTGTCCCAGCTCTTCTGTCCCCAGAATGATTTTCTTCAAACTCCACTTCTCGAGTAAATTTCAATTTGGCTTAAAGCTAGATAGCCTAGCATTAGAGCAGCTTGCACTACATTACACTAATACTAATTCTTCACTGTTGTAACTGATGATGTTTTCCTTGGAAAAGTATAAAATACATGCATTTAATACGTAAAGTACATGCATACTCACGCATATGTCAAAACAGGCTAAAAGACATCTGTTCTCTTGGCTCCAGTCCTGCAAATACATATGAATGTGAGTGGTTCCACTGAACTCACTGGGGCATTCGTGTGTGTCAAGTTACTGGTGCACATAAATGCTTGACAGATCGTGACCTTTTGTAACTCTTCATGCATATATATTAAACCAATAGTGGATTTATTAATACAGTAATTTGCTTCATTAATTTAGCATGTATTTGCTATTGTCATGCGCACATGAAAAGTAAATGTGTGCTGGCTAGCTACATGCATTTACCTGGCCAGTTGCATGTGGTTACTGGCAATCTGTCTGACCTTTTGGTTAATAAAGTCTTGATTTTAGCAAACCTTTTTTTCTGTCACAATTTTTTTATTTAAAAGAATTATTTTATTAGCTGTTAGAAGAAAGTCAGTAGTCCACTCTTGCAGAAATGACACTTCGTTTTCTTGAATTGTTATGTGGCTCTACTGTTCACACTGCAGTCTGAGAATCCAGCTACTTCGACAATGATCTTACAAGCAAATTTCCCACTGCTTCAGTAGAATCAAGATCAGACACAATGTTTTTCAGAGTTATGAATCTTAATTCCTGTCTTTCATTCTTTCCTTATTTAGGCCTTGAGTTTTAATGTGAAAGGCTTGAGCTTTTTCAGTTGTTAAATTCTTAAAACTTGGATAGATCTGAATGGAACAATATACAAAAATATATCTAGAGATTGTTTCTAGCACTAGAAGAATACAGTCACCTAGGAAGGGAAATGGAAAAAACCCTATTAATAGCTTAAAACAACACAGGAAGTGAGACTTTCTAAGACCAAAAGCATATACAGAGTTGAAGAAAGCAGTATGGAATGGTCAAAAGTCTGGTTTTAAATGACTTAGGCTCTTAGACTGTTTTGTGATAGCTTTGGCCAAGGCAGCTGACATGATCTTCTATGGCTACTGTGCATTTTGCTTCACCCAGGTGAAAGATGACCCCTTAATAGCAGGACTAAGCCACCGAAGTTCTGTTACAGCACACAGACCTTTCCTTTAGCTTCCACGAATGCAACTGCCTGGTCATCAGTAATGATTTTTTCAGGATCAGGGAAAGATGATGTCTCAGGCTACTAGTCCTGCTCACCACAGTCTTCAGGTTAATGATAATGAATGTGGTAATGTAGAACACATCTGAAAGGGACAAAACTTTGAACAGCATGTGAGTATCCCTAACTCTATATTCCCTCTGTTTCAAACACAGGTGGCTAAGTAAGCTGGGAATGGCTGTAGACCCTCAGGCACCCAACGGGAAGAATGAGGAAGGTATGTTCCCAACAGCAGTTTCAGTGTGTAACTACATCACGTTCTCCGCTTTTGCTTGACCAAATTTTTGTCAGCTCTTTTCTTTCTTTTAAATTGTCAACTTGGGTCTGTCTGCCAGCTGAGTTCAGAGAAACAGCACTGACACAGCACAGAATAGTAGCAGAAAAAGAAACAATGGTGAGAAACAGTGCCACTGAGAGACACTCAGTGGTCTTGTGAAAGGTAACTACTTTCTGGCAATTTGGTGGCTTGCTATAAGCCTACTAAGTGCAAAGAGAAACAGCTGTGCTACTCTGTGATTTGAGCTGGTAAGGTATATTACAGAAGTTGTGCTGAGGGCTGGGAGCTCACTAGCTGGGGAATACCTTGTGCAGTATAGACCCAACCCTAGTGTCTCCTCTGTTGATGGGGATTTCAACAGCAGTGTTGGAGGTGGGGAGAGAGGTGGGTATGTGTGGTGGTAGTGGAGTTATGAAGATCACAATTTGCTTCAAAGCCAAGCCCAAGAGTTCATTGTGGAATGAGTAATTTTAAGAGTTCCCTAGCAGTTTATTTATTGTCTTAATTTGCACACTATCCTAATAGAAGTTTTTTGGTGGGAGAATATCTGCACTTGATTTGCAAATCTGGGCAAAGGACAAAGCAAGTCACCTGTCAGAGGACTTGGAAAAGCTGCTGGTGAGGACACACATGCTGGGAGCTGGTTTAGAATGAGAAGTACTGTTGCTAGTCTTGAGTTAGCAAACCATGGATGGACTCTGACCTGAAGAATACATATCATCATATGGGCTTTTGACTCTCCAATTTTAGAGTATAGGTATCCAGTGCCTTATTTAGAGATGCTCAGGTTATGAAGGAGCTATCATTATGAAGTAACTGGTATTTGCAGTAGTATGAATACTTAGGTGATGCAGCCTGTTTTGTCTAAGCATCACTGCATCCCTTCTGCCATTTCCCCAGATATGGTCGCGATTTATGTCTAGGCTTTGGACATGTAATTCCATTGTTGATCAGTCTGATCTAGCTCTGTTTATATTCTGGCCCCATATATACTCTGCCACTAAAAGCAGCTTTGGGGCTGGTAAACATAATAACACTGATTTCTGGAGATTCAGCGGGTCTCATAAATTTCTTTGTTTTCAGTTCATGGTTTCCCTTTATTTCTTGTCAGGAAACTTGCTAATTCCCATATCCCTAGATTTCTGCAAAATGCCTGTATCCTCTTTGAACCTAGTTTTGTATCAAAACAGTCTGAGTGAATTAGGATAAAGGCCTATAATAAGTATTAGGCTATGTAGCAAGAACTGCATGACAATTTTACTCAGGAAGTGTCCAAATATGTTGTCTATGTCTTCACAAAGGAGTAGTTTGATGGAAGATGAGGATGGTCAAAATTCTGTACATAAAAACAAATTATTTTTTTAAAAGCCTCAAAAAATGTAGTATTGGTTGTGTTGGCTGAATCAAGAGTTAGAAAATACTTCAAAATGAATCAGTCCACTAATCTTAATGAAAAAAAAAAAAAAAAAGACAGAAAGATACAAAATAATCAACTCAGCAGCAGGTTATCTGATTTACCTGCAATAAACATAACATAGCAAAGATTTCTTCAGCTTTTAAAGCCAGTGGCTCATTTCCCTTTCAGAAAAAGGCACTCTGATTCTGGTGTCAAACACCTCCTCATCTTTCCATGTATGTTTTGCCACAGGTGCTCCAGCAGCTGCCTCGAGTGTGGGCTCAGCACCCCACTGACAAACCTAGGTGGATGTGTCCCTACAGAGGCATTGCTACGTTTCAGAAAAATGCTGTCATTACCCACATTCACTTCTGTTCCTACCGACCTGGTTTTCCCCTCTGTATCACACACCATAACTCTTCAGGAGGGTCTTGACTCTTATTATGGCATTTCTTGTGTATTCATGTACTTTCTATACATTTTAACACCCCCTCCCCAATCCCATTTGCATATTCAGAGTATCAGAAACAGCTGTTGATATTTTTTTTCAGTTCTTCAGTGTGCCTAAAAGGGAAGCTGTAGAAACAATAAGCTCTTTACTGAGAGTTATTCAAGAAGGCATTAATAGAACCTTAGAATTTGATATAGGCCTTATTGCAACCTGTCTCAGGCATTTATGCTAAGATGTGCCAGGACGTATTTCCAGCAAACAGAGTAGTAACTATGTTATTAAAAAACCCTATAGTTCCCCCCCCTATAGTACAGAGGAAAAAATAATAAATCTCTTTGTTTCACTTTGTTAACAGCTTAGAAAGTTCTCTCTCATGTGTAAAAATCTCCCCTCTTAAAATTTTATTTCCCACACACTGTGCTTATGAAACCTCCCAAATGACATGAACAAAAAAGAAAGTGTGCAGGTATTAATATAATTAAAAGATGAGATAATCACAGGTGATTTCCCAGAGACCATTGCCAACACACCACTTTCTAGTGGCGTGAACCTATGAGTTTAGCTCTTACAAAGTACTCCCTGAACATAAACAACCCTTGCCCACTTGGGGACAGAGCTGGAGGGTTGTTTCCACCAGAGAGACTCAGTTGCTCTTGGACAGCACAAGCTGCTCTGTGTGTGGCTGGCAGCAGGAAAGGCAGCGCAGGGTGCTGGCTCCCAAAGGAGACTGCAGGAGCAGCCTCTGTTCTGTCATCTGTCACTCACTCACGTTGTCCTCATTAAGTTCTGATTATATCTTCTAACCTTTCATGTCCCCAGCTGAGTTGGGCAGGGGTGAGCACTGTCACCCTGCAAACATGGTGCAGGGCAGAATGCAAGCACTTGCTCCTAAAAAGGTAGGATATGAAAGGCTGATGCGTGCCAGGAAATTTAGCAGAGGGAAGTAATCTTCTCCAGTGGTTACAGCCAGGACCTGGGAATAGGAAGCAGTGATTTACCACCTCCCTTTTTTTGTGTCTTATTTTAGCAATGATTATCACTTCATTTAATCCACATTATAAAAGCATCTGAGAAAATGCTTTCACCTGCTGCACAGGTAGTTGAAAGAAATAACACCACAACTGCCTCTCTGCCACATGTCAAAAGACAGCCAGGCTCTATTAGCTTGCTTCATACTAACAAAAAAAATAAAAAATAGAGTGGGTTGTATAGTCCGAGAGTTCTGTGTTTAATTTTAGTACTAGCTCTGCACATGTGCTGCCATGCTGCACAGTGTGCCTATGTGAGTTACCATGTGGTGACAGACAGCTCTCATGGGTCTGCTCTGTGGTTTCCAAAGCACCATGCAAGCAATCTGTTTTCTCCAAAATTGCAGTCAAAACACCAATGCCTGTTGCTACCTCCAGGAAAAGTTAGTGGTTAGAGATTAAGGGGCAGAATCTGCTACTTCCAACAGGTCTCCCTAACTCATCTGACGTGATGCAGCCTTTCTTTTAAAGGCTTCTAAGGGAGGATAAAGAAACCCTACCCCAGACCTGTTTGTGAAGCTATCTAGAGCTGTGCACCAAGTGTTTCCATCCATAGCAAATTAACAAATTTTTTTACTTAGAGGAAGAAAAAAAAAAAAAGAACATATGTTGCCTTGAAGTAGTGTAATATTACCACAAGTGAGTTAATTTTCACTATAGGAGACACTGACTTTTTACAGTGTTGTCTGCGGCCCAAAACATGCTACTTGGTCATCTTTGGTTACTACAGCTCTGCAAGGAGTATATGAGCGTTGGTCTAACACTTTTTTTTTTTGCTCATTTTTTGTGCCTGCCTCAGAATGCTACAGTGAAAGTGAACATGATGATCCCGAAATAACAGACACACCACCTCCCCCTTACACAGTCCAGCCAACACCTCCTCCTTTGGTAAGTGTTACAGTAGGTGGCTTGTCTCTCGTTGCTTGGCTCTTGTCAACACTGAGGACCTTTGAGGAATAACCCGAAACAGCTGCTAGAAATGTTCACCCGGTGTGCCTGTGAAATCAGCCTGTGCTGCCAGGAGCCTCACGCTGTAGAACAACTCCTTCAGATGGAAGAATATTTATCTTGCTGGAAAAAGGAAGGTGTCCACTCTGCCTCGTACACACGCTGTCTTTTCTTTACAAGGTTTTTAACACACTGCCATAACCCAGATTTTCATGCTATTCTTTTTACTTCTTTTTATCTGCCCCAAATCTATCTTTTTTTGTGACCCCAGTAGCATCATCCAACAGGTTCATACTTATTTATTTTGAGTGACTTGTTCTCAAGACTGCTGAATTTGAAGCTGCTTTTGTGGCAGTGAAGGGAAAGAAGTCTCTTATTACAGTGATAAAATAATTTCTTTTCTTCTACCTCTGAAAAATAGATAAGAAAAAATAGGCATCGTCCCTGAATCTATGCTATTTTTCTCTCTTGCTGTAGCATATTTGCCCAGAATATTCCTTCTTGGCTTGTTTCATTTCATAAATTAGAATAAGCGCTATGCACCCTTATGTGTCTAATCAAATTGACTCACCTAATTATTAGCTACTTACTGCCCTATTAATCTTGTTTCTGTATTGTTGCTTTTCTCAGTGATCTCACATCCCCTTATGTGCACTTTAAGATACAAGGTTTACTTAATTCTGTGTTTAGAAATAAGTAATCTGGTTTGGGATGGTAATGCAGCTGAAATAAAGAATCCCAAGTTCAAGCATTTCCCTTCCCTGGCTGAAAGTTATCACTGAGGTAATGCGGTAATAGACTTAGTACTAAGTCATCTCATTGCATCTCATGGAACGGAAATGTCTTCTGCCTCGTTGGTATGGTACAGGCTCCTGTACAACATGCTGAATTGACATCTGACCTGAGATGGGCACAGAGGCAGTGAAATAGGAACAAATTTGAAATATATAGATGAGCTGAAGAAGCTTGTGCGGTCACAGGCAATAATAAAAGGAGACATCATGCACAGGGTTGCTTGTCTGGCATAAAGCTGGGAGCATGCGTCACACTGTCACCCACTTGTCCGCTTCTGTTTCAGTCAAATAAGTTGCTCTTCACTTCCTCTCTGAAACAGTTGTCTAACATTAATCACTGTGAAACAACCCAGCTGGCACTCAGGTTGTGTGTTGTGTTCACTGCTGGGTAAAATGTGTTTCTTTATTGCCTGTATTAACTGGAAGTTAAATGTGGCCAAGCAGCTATAAATATCAGGGGAAAATAGGAACCTTGGCAATACGTCTCCAAGAGTTATTCTGGGCCTAAGGCCGATAATGAAGAGTCTTGAATTTTATATCTCAGTGGCTTGCCTTTAAGAGGCTGTAGATGTCTTTTCCATCTGCTCACCTTTCAGTGAATGCTGCATTTTCCAGTGAGTTTTAAACAGGTGCTGTTTTTTAGTTTTCTGTTTTTCTGGCTTCCTGCTGCTTGACAGTTTGTTACTGCAGAGGTGATCTCCAGTTGTTTCCTTCCCATCTGCTGCTCTTGAGCACTGGCCACCGCGTTTTAGCAGAGGACGTGTGGTGCAGATGTTGAGGGGTCCAGCTTCCTCAGCCTTTCCCTTAAAGGTCATCTTCCCTCCACCCTTTACCTCTCTCAGCTGACTTCTTTTCTCCTCACCCCCAGCTTAAAACCCCTTCCCTCATGGACAAAGGTTAATGTCTCCTGAGCAAAGTTGTCATTTTTTCAACTGAGATGTGGCCACTGAAATAAGCTCCAGCTACCGTGTGTCTGCCCTATGCCTAGCTTGCTTATGTGGTGGGTAGGAACAGTTAGTTACCAATGCAGCTGTGCTTGACTGTAAGTCAGAGCCTTTTAAATACCGAACTTAATGCCCCTTTCCCTTCTGGACAAGTATTGGAGTGAGAAAACCAGTGAAAGGATTGGGAAAGCACAGCTTCTATTGGAAAGCCAATTTTAGGAGTGGAGCTTTTGGTTGTCTCAGGGAAGGCTGGTTAAGCATTGCTTGCTGCCTGTTTATTCACTGCGGAGTGTTTGAACCAAGCTGTAAGGTCCCAAATATGTGATGGATTTGGGTTGATACTCTGTGGCTATACCACAGAAGGACTTCCTGAATGTTTTCAGATTGCTACTGAAAGAGACACTCATTCTGGAAACGCAGCCCAGCACCAAGAATGCCACAGGCATGATGGGTTAATTTCTTTTTATTTTTTTAAAAAGTTGGATTTCTTCCTCCTGAGAGCCAAAGGGATTTTGCAAAATAGGAATTAGGTACTACAGACATTTTGGAAAATCAAGCCAATGCTGTCTTTAGCAGAAAGCCCTCCAAACTTCTTAAGACCAACTCCAGACTGAAAGCTATTAGTCTGCAAACTAACAGCCACTCAGGTGCAGGCTCTGTTACTTGTTAGAGCTGTCGCTTGTTTTTTTATTGTTGTACTTCTAGCACAATGTTTTCATTTGCTGTTCTGTTCTCTGCTCACCCAAACTGTTTTGAAAGTTTTTTAAAAAAAAAAAAGTAGGATCATGAGCTTTCTGTGTTTGTTCATGCTCTTGGGTACTGTGGAAGAAAAAGGCAAGTCAGGAACAAGTAAATCTTAACATCTGTAGGGCAAAAGTTAAACTGACTATCTACATTAATTTCTTCACACATGAATGGATTTAAAGTTCAAAAACCAGCAGCTATGATGAGATAATAGATTGTAGCAGTCCCAAAAGAGCAGTTGAGGTGTTTCATAGTGAAAATTTTTCTCTAAAAATGCCTAGAGACTCATTGATCTCCAGTGGAATCCTTGTGATCTGCTTTCTTAAACATCTGTTTTTTAAAATGTCTCTAAATGGAGATTTATTATTATATGGATGACTGCTAAACTTCCAAAGGAACCACTTGAGTAAGTTAGGTAAACATTTGTCATGCCAAAATAAAAAAACCCCACAACATATGTAGAGAAAAAGAAACATATTCTGGCAGTCATCTTTATTCTCACCCACATTTTTTGTTTAACACACAATGAAAAAGAAAACTAAAATATATTCCACTCAGTGAGGCACAGTTTTCATTTCAATAGCATTTTCTCTTGCACAGACAAATGCTAGAAAAATAGAGGTGTGATCAAACATCTTTCTTTTCTGTCTTTGAATAGCTGAAATAAGACCATCCACACTATGTGAGCAAGAGCTTTTACTATTCACTTGCTTTACTGTACAAATGCTTCAACAGTTTGTATTTGTGATAGGAGGCCTTAGATGAAATGCTTTAGGTCACACGCGTTCCCAAGGGTCATACATGTAGTTTATGACAGCATCTCCTTGTCCTTTACTTTAGGACGCATATATGAAGGTTTTACTTTAAAAATAAAACTGCACCTGGAACAATGTAACATCTTGTATAGGAATATAAATTAAGTCTGGTCCCTCAGTGTTTGGGACAATCTTTGAAGGAAAGGCATTAAAAATTTACAAAAGTGAAGGAAGTGCTACAAACAAATGGTGACCCGCAATGTGTTACTGGTAGTCCTCATCTTCTGAATCAATTAGTAGCTACATGATACAGCTAGATTATAAGCACAGGAAGTCAAATCTGCTTTGCTTTTTTAATGTAAAAAGAAAGTAGCATACGTTACAGCAACACTGAATAGCAGAACTTCATATATGATAATAAAAAACCCTGTCACTCTGGTCTGGTTTATATGACTGTATCTTATTTCTAGTTTACCAGGTTATAAATAAGTATTCTAGGCTAGACCCCCTATTGTGTTTGCAGCTTGTCCGGGTTTCCCTTGAAACACCTTGTCAGTAATTTTTGATACTTCAGTCTAGTTATCATCTGTTTTAGTTATTAGGCAGATCTATTCTACATAGGTATTGAGAACATAAACTGGCCAGAACTGTGGTCCATCAACTCTGGTATTCAGATTCTGGCATTAGCCAGTAGCAGATGATTTGCAGGAGTAAATTTCTGCAGTAGCAGATACAAGAAATATGGCTTTCACAGCATGATGATTTCATCAAGATTTCTGATGATTTTTGCTAAAAGCTTCACTATGAGCCTCTGTCTTCCTTTTTCTTCCATTACTTTATTACTGTCAATAATCCTTTTAAAGGTATTTGTATGTGTATTAGTGTATTTGCCATGTATTACTTGTGTATTTGGCTCTCTTGGCTCATCTTTTCAGTGGCATTTTGTGCCTAAGAAGCAGACTAGTGCTAGTTCTTCATGTGTGAGTTGCTTTTGGTGACCAGATAATAGAACTCAGTGTAAACACCAACTGTAGACCTGTGCATTTATTTGCTTGCCTGGGAAGTTAAATACTTTCCAAAACTTTGTTCTTTCTCTCAACCTTTCTTTACATGGAACTGTGCATCTGTCATGACCTCACTTATTAAAATCCTGTCTCCTAATGATGACTGTTAGATGTCTCTGAGACATCTCTGGTTGTATGTCCTCTTGTTGAGGCAAGTACAGTATGGAGGGCCTCAGGATGTCTTCATGATTTCTTATGTGTTTCTAGTGAAGTTTTGGTTCCCTTCCGGATTCACGAATGATGACTCTTAGCAGGTAACGAGCAGCACAAAGATTGTACCGTTCCCCTTTTCTTGCCCTCTGCTGTATGACTGACTGTTTTTTCTTTCTACCACTAACTTGCCATCACATTACCCATCAGCCTTCTTGCTTTGGTAAATGGTTAGTCCCTTGAATGGACTAGGCAAAATGGCCTTGTGTGCTGTGAAGGTCAAGGTACTTCAGTGTTTGGGCCCATTTCTGTCTATCAGTGGTCATGGCATTGGTGGATTTATTGAATTCTTCCAGAAAACTTCATGTTCAATGGCTAATTCAGAGTTTCTCCTCTGCACAGTTGATTAGACCAATAAAGTGAAGACAAAGTAAAGAGTAAATGTGAGTGTAAGACCTAGCATAGACGGCTATATTCAACACTGTTTCTCCTTGGTTTTTTGTTTTTAGGCATTGTCAGGTTTTTATCTGTTTTATCTTTGGCTTCCCTGTGGCTTAGTTTCTGAAGTTACTGCTCTGTAGGACATTGAATGTCGTAATTCAGACCTGTTTGGATGGATAATTAATCAGATTATACAATGTTTTCATCAGCATTTCAGCTGCATATCTATAAAATGTAAACCTAGGAACAGGAATAACTTGGAAAAAATTTTTCTTTTTTCTCCCCCCACCCTATTTTTTTCTGGAAAGCAGGATCAGCAGAAGTCTTCTTTCACCTCAATGCTATCAAATGAAGCATCTTGTTCCCTCTCCTCTCCTGAAAGCACTTTCAACTCCCAAGACTCATCTTCTTCCTTGACGTCCAAAGTGGTTTATTCTGAGAGGCAGTCCTGGCTTGACCTAGTTAACAGCTCTGCCACAGAAGACGTTGATCAGCCTTTAACTTTCTGCGTACAGATTCACCCTGATGAACTGCCAGAAGCAGACTGTGGAGAAGTGGCAGAAAGCCAGGAAGCTGGGCTTTCCAAACCCACTGGTGGATCCCCAAACTCTTTTTTAGGTCCGGATACACATTGTCTAGCTGTGCCAGATGCAACAGGACAGAGATCACTAGCCAAAGGTGAGCTAATGAGAAGAGATTTTTGTCTGCAGAGCCCTACAGTGTGGGAGCTCAGGGGTTTTCTTCAACTTCCTTTCCCCTTCCTTCCTTTATGTTCTTCACTGAAGAGTTTTCCAGTGGCAATTTCATTTATAACAAATATTTGATTTATTGGGCATTAAATATAACCTATAAGTACCTTCACAGCTTTTCTCAAATTTTACCTATATGTTAAGTTCATAGCCTCTGTATAAAATACCAAAGTAGACATATTTTTATTAGCTTGCTTTATTTCAATACAGCTGTCTTATTAGTTAGGACTGAACCAACATTTTAAGAAAGTGTCACAGAACTGACACCCTAAGCAAAACGGCATATGCAGGAAGTGGTGAATATGGGGTTAGGCCAATCCAGTTTTAAAAATAAAAGCAGTTGCATTTACTTCCAGTACATATTTTCTATTTGTTTCATTGAGCTTCATTGTAATCAAGAGGAAACTGCATTCCTGAACCAGAAAGTCCATTAAGACTGGATTTAGTTTAAAGAAATGGGTATCTGCTTAGGTATTCTCCTACAAAAATGTACTGCTAAATTAAAAAGGTGGCAGAGTTCCGGAGTTTGGTTATTGTTACTGTTAATAACTCTCCTGCCATAGCAAGACAATATGTCTTGCCTTTCGAGCAAAGCTGCTTTTCCCTGTATTAAAATCAGTTGAAGCATAAGAGGCGTTTCTGGCATGCAATATGCTGGACTGAGAAGATACACAGCATGCTGCCTAGAGAGGTAATATATAAGGAAGCAACAATGTTCGTGTGCATCAGCTTTACCTATTATTCCAAATCCTTGTAAAGATTTGAAGTGAGGAGCATTGTTGTCTTGGTACAATTTAAGCTAAAGGTGCATCCAAAAGGTTAGTCTGAAAGTAATGCAAAGGTGGAAAGAAACAGCACTGGACTTATCTTCAACTTAGGGGTTTTTCTCTGTAGGTGAACTCAGCACTGATTGAAAAATGATAGTGTGAGGTACATTAGGTACATTGTCAGTCTCCCAATTGTTTTACAAGCATCAGCAGTTAACGTGCCTTTAGTTTGTCATATGTTTCTCTGTTTTTACAAAAAAAAAAAAAAAAAGGAAATCAAGCAAAGTACAGATTTAAGAATTAAAACCAAGAGTGTACCTTTTTTTTTGGTGGCAGAAAAGAGTGGATGTTTTGAGAGAATTGCTGTGGAGTCTAATTCCCATAAGTTCTGGCATTGCAAGTAGTGAAAAGGCTGGGGCTGGCAGAAATGGGGTCCTTAATGAAAATGTTACAAAGATGTAATAAATATATTGCCTTCTGTAATTCTGAGTGAAAGTTGACTAAGTAATGCCTTTGGGAAACATTATTAGGTACATTCAAATGGATTGTTGGAGTGTAGGTCATATATGGCATGGTAGCTTATAGATCCTGTTGAGCAAGATTCAGTGGCTGCTTTTCAGAAATCTAAACTTTGCTTAGAATATGGTACTCTGGTATTGTCAACAATCATGTAATAATGCACAGGTTAATACTTTCCATCGTAACTGTGAGAGTGACAAATACTTTTATGGATGGTCATAGAATTAGCATGATACATTCATAATCACTTAAAGCATTGTTTGACAGGCTCAATAGTACTAACCAATAAAACCAATAAAAATGTAAATCAAGGCACATTTTGGTATAGTCCTGCCATTTGCAAGCTGGTTTAATTTTCCTAAAAATATTCCTAGGGAAATGGATTCTTCTATTGCTTACTGCTTAGCTAATGACCAACCCTTATTGCAGCACATTTCCATCCTAACCACACCAGTGATCTCTGATGGAATTCCAGAAACAGATCATTTTAATGGGACTGTCACTATGGAAACCATATAACCTCAGTAGTTACTGTCTGCATCGTAACCCATTGTTGAGCAAGCAAGACATACAAAATACATGCATTTTTCTTTCCTTTATCAGTCTGCATAGTATGGGGAGGGGGCAGAGAGTGCTGGTGTGTGGGATTCTCCCCCATAATGGCCACTGAAAAAATAAATGAAATAATTTGCAAGGAGATCAGTTAAACTACCTCAATTTGAGAATTTGAGAACAAGGTAGAAAAAAATGATTAATGTAAAAACAGCTTTTCAGTCCCAAAAGAAAGTTATCCAAAAGAATGCAATTCTGGTTCTGTGGCTTATCCTCGAAGAATTTTCCTCTCCAGCTAGTTGATAACCCTTGTTATCAATGAAACAAGAATGCATACTTCAGTGTGCTTGTATTATTTGCTTTACAGCATTACTGAACAGTGCATTTCTGACAGCTCATCATGTTTCAGAGTAATGAGACCACATCCAGGAGGAGATAGGTTCATCTTGCATTGAAATCTGTCCTGAAAGCATGTCCCGTCTATGTTAAGATGACCCTTCTGTTATCAGAACAGCTATCTATCTGGTCTTTGAACCCATTCCCCACAGAACCTTCATGCATGTCTATGCTCTTTCCTTCTTGTGAGGAGAGGAAAAAACTGTCACACACTCTGCTTTGTGGCCATATTCTGCTTAGTAAAACCCCATGAGGAATTGTAGCTAATAGCAGCCTAGATCTCAGGGGAAAGTTTTCAAGACTGAAGAGCACTTTTGTTGGCAAAAGTCAAAAATGGAGGCCAACGTGAGAAAAGCTGGTACCTAGAAGGCAGAAAGAGTAGGTGTGGCTTTGTGGGAAGACCTTATCATGAAATTACAAAAATAGTGAAGAAACCTCAGTGACGAGTTAAACACTGAAAGAAAAGTTTCTGAGATATATGGATGAATCTCTGTGAGAGAAACTACGGATTCAACGTGGATTATTTTTTCAATTAAAATTACTTAATGAAATCTGCTAAGCAGCTGTGTCTAATGCAGGGTGCTGTGCCATATGATATTTTTTATGACCTTTCCAGCCACTTTTAGTGATATTATGACCGTTCTCAGCACCACTTCCTAGGGAGAGTTTATAGACCAGGAAGTAAGACAAAGGTACAGAAAGAAGAGTTTAACAGTTTTGTCTTTTGAAAGATCAGCATTATATTTCCATTTGCTTTGTGGGAATATTTAATATCAAGTATTAGTATTGAGCTCCGTGTTGCAGCTTGGTATGTGCACAGTGACAAAGGATTCAAAGCTGCCTGCGACACAAAGAAACTGAAAGGTAAACAAGAAACGGTTGAGAATACAAACAACTACATGACTACGTGCTCTGTATCCAGAACCCTTGCCCTGTTCAGGATGGCTAGATATGCTCTGCAGCCAAACTCCATCCTTTTTATTTCTTCTGGTACCCACTGGAACAAAAAGTATCTGATTATGACCGACCACCATCATCACCAGAAACTATGATAACAAAAGGAAGCCGCAATAACTGAGAGAATACAGTAAGAGAACAGGAGCATGTTGTTGTTTTTATTAGGGGATCTTCTACTATAGCGATAACATCCTTCTTCCTTGCATTTTCTGAGGGTTTATGATCATGTGAAGTTAATACCTCTTGGTGAGGAATTCTTATGGTACCACTTCTGGTACCATAAATAAACTTCTGGTTTATTTTACCTTAGAGAACAGTAGCTGGTAGAAGATATGGTGTGTGCTGGTATTTTGAAAAACCTGGGAAGTTTTTTCAGACACCACCTAAATTTTATCTGGGCTGGTTTTACGGGAAGGAGCTGGTTAAATAGGAGCTGGATGCATTCAGTTCCTTCTTTTCTTAGAACTGACATCCTCTTCCCCTCTGGAGTCTGCCTGTGCCAGTAATAGCCAGAACAGATCCTCTGATGTGCTCTGGCCCCTTTGTTCCTCTGCAGAAAGTTACAGAAAATGGCTAGATCATGACTGGGATTAGCCAAGAAGTATGCCTATGGTGAGAGGAACTGTGCAGAGAAACAACTGTGTTTGAATGATTATTTTGTTTCTCATCAAAAAGGATTTAAAAATCACAGTGAAAACTGTGGTGTTATGGTTTTCTGAACTCTCAGAGAGGTACTTATTAGTGTTGTTTCCAGTTCCCTCACTGTCTGTTAAAATGCCATCCCTCACTGCTGAATCCTCTGTATTGCCATAGTCAAGAGCATTTAACTGCTGATGGTAACTTACTTTTCCTATTATTTTCTCTCACTCTCTCCTACCTTTAGTTCTGCATTTGCCAGGGAGGAGTTTGCCTAAGCCACGCCCACTTAATTCAAATATTTCCTGCCTTTTCTGTTCTGTAATTATGTCAAACATGGGATTTCCCCAAGGGGTCATCATATTCCTATTGACGTCTACTAACCACTATGGAGAACAGCTGAGGGGTAGGGTGTGGGTACATAGGTAAGGGAAAAAGCAGTTTATGATTACTTTCCCTCTGCTCTCCCCAGCCTGGGTGTATATGTTGTCCCATCAGTATCAAAAGTTTTGACAAAATCAGATGGAGGTGCTGGTACAGCCACCAGAAGCTCGTGAGAGTAGCAAAGGGGGAAGAAGCAGATTTAATTTTTTTCTCCTGGGATTAATACATAGTTGGAGAGCTGTGAGATCTTGGAGAATGGGAGAACAAGTATTTACATCTTAGCTTAGATTTAGTAAAATATATTGCTAGAGGTGGTTTTCAATTTAAAATGCTCTTTCTGCCAAACATTGCCTATTTCTGTATCATCACTAGGAAACAATCAGCTTGATTTTTCACAGCTGTTTTTTGAAAAGTTCTGGATAATTTCACTTTTGTAGGCTTAAAGAACATTAAATTTGAGATTTCAGGATGGCTCCTGTATTTGCTGCTGCAAGGTGGGGAGTCTCAATACCTTAATGTCTCCCACCTGTGGCAAGTTGGCCGACAGGAAGGTGGAAGTTGAAAACTGAGGAGGTGAAAAGCTGGACTGTTGAACCTCTGGCAGCTTGCTTTTGTCTGTGATATCTCCTGTTGGTTAGAGGGAAATTCCAGACAAGTGGCATCAAGCCACAAAAGTGTGTTTCACATCTTCTGAAACAGAATTTGTCAGAAGTTATGACTTGCTTGAAATATTACTTTGTTTGCCTCACTCCAACCTAGAATATCTCTTTCTCTTGAACGTTACAATATCTTGGGGCACAATTTCCCTTTTCCTCAGGTCAGCACTGGTTCTTTTCCATTTTCCTCACTGTGAAGTCTGGCAAAGTTAAAGAGCCCTATGGCTACAGAAGATTTCCAGAAGTGCAACAAAGCTTTAGCAGGCTGCAAGGCTTTGGGGTAAAGAGCATGGTGAAGGATCCAGGAAGACTGATCCTTCCAGTGGCATCACTCAACAGAATTGATTAGTTAATACTGCCAAGGGAAAGGAAAAGTGCAGAATGTACATGTTCCCCTGTGTGCATGTACATGCTCATAAATGCACACAGTATCTAATATCCGTCCACTGTTGCTGTTTGTTCATTAGCACTAATCCTTCAGCAGATCCTGAGAGAAAAATGGATGTATTTAATCTCTACAATAGGATAAGATAAAGAAGTGCTGTAATAGCATTTCAGCTTCCTAACTTGCATGCCTGAGACAGAAAGTGGTCAGTTTGAGGAGCAGTGATGGAACAGATAACTTGCAGTATTATATTCTGAAGCAATTTTAAATGCACCTAAATGTGACCCAGCTAGAAAAACTTGTGCCAGAGCAGTGTTAGTGGGGCCCAACCTGTCCATGTTATTAAGAACTTTTGCCAGTGGAATATATCCATCATTATAAACCTTCAGAGGTTAACAAAAAAGCTTGGCAAGGCTGAAACAAACAATTTACTCATTTTCACACCAGGGCCTGAACTTACGTACTATGTGCTTTTGCATAAAGTTTTACTTTGTGATGGAAAGCAAATATTTAGCAACAATTCAGTGGTATGGTCTAGTCAGCCCCAGTTTCTTAGGAGGAATCTAAATCACCAAAGCCTGAAAATACAGAACTGGTGAATGCAGTGCTTCTGTTAGAGACTTCCTCATCTGCAGGTCAGTGCTCTAACTGCGGGTGAGCAAGGGAATTATACAATACCAAGTTCTGGGAAAATGTGCTCTGAATGTTTGAATCCAGAGGAAAAAGTCCAGTCTGTGCTTAAGCCTTTAAGTTACATGCCTTTATCTCTGTTATCCAACCTTAATTTTCTCTCAGGTGTTTTGTGGGGAAAACAAGCAAGCAAACTACAGGTAATGCTTACTTTGTCTACTTTGGTGACATTAAAAGCCTTGTGAAATACGTAATGCACCATTGTGTGAGTGAGAAGAAACATATTTTCTTATCACAGGTAATCTTATTGGGCTTGTTAATTGATTGTTAGACATAATACCTCTCCCTTTCTTCCATTACCTCTCCCCCTTTCAGATTCACAGCATCAATTTAGTGTGCTTAGTGGCAGCTTCAAGCCTGAAAAATGTGTGCTTTTGCTTTCTGAGCTTGGCTAAGGGCAACACAGGACATTGAAGATAAAAGTCCAGATAGGTATCAGATAGTGTGGCCGCAGTTTATAGAGGTTTATTTGCAGTCATACTCTTGTCAATAGCAACAGTATCTGCTTTTATGAAAAAGCACATTATTAAGATCTTGTTTTGTTATTTTTGAGGTGTTATAGAATCACAGAATGGTTAGTGTTGCTGAAGGCCCTGTCCAACCTGGCCTAGAACACTGACAGGGGTGAAGCATGCACAACTTCTTTGGGCAGCCTGTTCCACTGCCTCATCACCCTCACAGTAAAGAATTTTTCCCTTGTATCCAACCTAAATCTGCCCTGTTTAAGTTCGAACCCATTCCCTCTTGTCCTATCACTAGAGTCCTTGATGAATAGCCACTCTCTCTGTTGGAGAACAACTTGCTGTGATCCTTGTTGTGGGAGAAGTTCACTGCTCATTGGTGCAAAGAAAGATGGAGACAAAAGTACTACATAACTCTTACCTGGCTCTACACAGTCTGCAGGTTTCACTCATGCTTGTTTTCCAACTGTTTCCTGAAATCCCATTTAGCTGCTTCACTGTCACTCCCTTTATCCACCCAATCTGAAGAATGTGGCCCATTCCTTTCCCTCTGGAATTATCTGACCATGATCAATCCTTTACGGGTGGGACTAGTGGAATAATAAGAAGTAGGAGAGGAATTTAAGGTTGCAATCTTGAAAGAATGCAGGAGCTGAGGGTGCACTGCTGATTAAGTACATCATCTGGTAGCCTTTTGCTGGGCTTTTTTGACTTTGGCTCCATCTTTTTCTGTGCTAAATATTACTGTCCTCTTCATCTTCACCCACAGTGCATGGAAGAAGATATCAGAGTACTTACCATAGAAGAAGAGTGTTCAGTGAGGGTGTTTCCTCATGTTTTCTGCTTTGTAACCCTTTTAGGAAACTGAGGAGAATAATGAGTTAGACTCAAAAAGCATCTGGAGCAGGGACTTTATGTCCCCATGGTGTGACTATTTTTTAAAATTACTAGACAGGATCAATGGAAGCATTTTTCTGCTTATATACTCCTTGGATATTTGATAAAGGTCAATTTATCTCTCAAAGTGATACTGTGTACAGTCCTGATGGGTAATGTCTACAGTAGAGTTGAGCTAGTCCTGTGCAGGAGTCGACTAATGAAACAAACAGCTGCTTCATCCCAAGAAAGTAGGCAGGAAGCCAGTTTTATAATTACGAGCCTCATGGCATGAGCTGACAGTTTCCAGGAAATACTACTGCTGTGTATTATGCCTTACACTTGCATTTTTTTTCTATTTCCCGCAGCTTGTTAAATATACAACAGTTCTCCTTTTCCTCCTCCAGCACTGTACCAATGTTGGAAGCTATATTTAATTCTTCTCAAGTTACAGCAGGCTTTTTATAATCACAAAGTAGTGGAAAAAAGGCCAGCAACACAGTGAAGGCAAATATTTGTAGCGTATCATAAACTTTTCTTGTAACCTAAATATTTGGAAAGAACAGGGGTGTAGGAGGATTCTGTACTTTTTAAAACATGGAAAAGATAAGAGCAGTCTCCTAAGTGTGCTGATAAGTCGAAGTCTTTGTGCTGTAGCATAAGCGAGCAAAAGGACTTCTTTCTTTTGTTCAGAAAATGTTTGCTGACTGAAGATGATTTAGAAAAGTCAATGTTTAACTTTTAAGTAAAAGAAAAAAGTGCCAAGCCAGGTTGACTGGCACATGGAGGACTGCAGTTGAGAAGAAGCACCACCACTATCCCTACTGAAATAAACCCAGGTGTTATCCCAGTGAATCTTGAGGGATTTGTTAGTACCCTGAAAACACCAATAGCTTTTAAGTTTTTCCTTTAGCAAACACTGAAGTAGAAAAGTTTGCAGTGTGGACTGAGGGGCAAGAAGATAGTTGCACAGTCTGAAAATAGTCTTCTGCCAAAACAACTTATATATGCCTGGTACATTTTTAGATTCTGACTGTTAATTTTTAAGTTATTTTATTCTGAAAAATCTCTTTGCTTCAGTTTTTATCTTATTTTAAGATACTTCATTCTCAGCTCTTTACTAGCTGCTTGTTTAATTTCCTCTCCATCGTGGAAGATGATGCTGTAGCTTGGGAGCCATCAGAATAATTATAGTGAAGATAATCATGGCTTTGTTGTAGGGCACCACAGCAAATTCTCTGCTGCAATCTGTGAAACTCAGGAGTTAGGCATCATGTGTCCCAAGGGTTCTTGCTTTTATGCTTTCTAGGGACCTTCTCTTGGGTCCTCTGAAATGTCCCTATGCTTCATTTTATTGTAATATTTTTAAACTCCAGTTTCAATAGTTACCAAAACCTGGCAATGAATTGGTACACCAAATAGAATTTGGCCTGTGAGTTGCCAGGTAGAAATGTAATTCACTTTGTGCAGCATGTAGGAAAGGGTAGATGGGTATAAATGCTATCAAAGTTGTTTTCATTCTAATGTAGCATTACTGACAGTTGTTCACTCTGTGATATATGTGGAGCATTAAAGCAGCACTCTACCAGTGGAAATACAGGCCCCTATCTGCTTGGATCACAACTTGATTCTTAATAGCATTTAAGTTTGGTAGTATGTTTCTCTTATATGCATTATTACCCTATAAATTACCCTAAAAATTGCCCTTAGTTTTAACTCTAATACCATGAGTCTTTTAGACTTGGCTAAGAGCCTTCCTGATGGCTGAACTTAACATTTCCTGCCACATTCATGTTCTCATGCCCAATTTATTTTTTCTTTGCAGATCAGGAAAAATGTGAAAATGATGAGATGGAGCGACTTTACAAGTCATTAGAACAAGCAAGCCTGTCTCCCATTGGTGATCGTCGGCTGTCAACAAAGAAGGAGCTTCGGAAGTCATTTATCAAGCGCAGCAAAAACCCCTCTATTAATGAAAAACTCCACAAAATTCGAATGTTGAACAGCACATTAAAGGTGAGGTTGCAGAGATGGCCAAGGAAAAGCCTGAGAGAAAGAAACAGTTTGGCTAAAAAAAAGCAGCAAGCTTTTTCAGCCAAATGCTAATTACATATTTACTTACAGCCCCAGAGAATTTGGTTAAGCTTTTGAAATTGTTTTCTACTTCATTCTGAATACTGCTCTGTGTTTTGTTGTACAGTCTGAACTGGAAGCAGAGGTAATAGTTCAGAAGGGACCCTTCTTGCAGAAGTTCCAGCCCACTTGGAAAATTTAATAAAGAAAGCTTCTTTTAGTTAGCTGGAAAACTTGCAAGCTCAGCTGAATACACTAAACAGGGGAGCCTTAAAAAAGGAAGAGCAGACAAAGTACATTGATGATAAAGCATGAAAATGACCCTGAGCCAAAAAAAGTTTTCCTTATGTGATTATCGGAGAATGTACAGGATGTGCCAAAGCTATTGTAAAGACCTCCTGTAACTAAAATATTTTTAATAACAGAAGCATCCTGCTTTTATTTTGGAAATGTATCCTGAACTGAATGCGGGGTGGGGGTAGCGGGTTCAGGGGTTGTTCAATGAAAAGGCCAGTAAAGCTGTCTGGAATATGGGGATTTATGGGGCTGTTTACTCACCAGCATCAAGTGTCACGGGATTTCAAAGCCTGCTTCTGAATGGTACGGAGGGAAACAGAAAGCTTAATCATAGCATTTGAATTGTAAGGAGAAGAAAGGATAATGCAAACCTGGGCCTTCACTTGTTTCTTTTTGTATGCATTAGAAGCAGAATTAAGTACCTTTTATCAAGTGCGTGTATTTAGCTTCAGGCATTGTGAGCTGAAAAAATGCATGTAAAAACTTCTATCAGTGCAATCATTGATGTGATTATTAGTTGCAATGGGAGGCTTGGCTTTGGCTTCTCAGCCTATGTTAAAATTCCTGAAGATACAGCCAAAGACATGAGTGGGACTAGAGGCTTTCTTCCTGGTTCCATTTGAGACCTGGTGAAGTCTCTCCTCTGTATGAGAGTCTACAGTGACATGATACTGACTAAAGCAGTATTCACCTGCACCAGAAAAAAAGTGAGCCCATCATATAACAGAAAGTTAGTTCAAAAAAATATGCCTGTTTTATGGGACCGGAAGCTAAATATAGAAACATACTGCAAAGTGTTCCCTCATAGGAGCCTCCCTAATAAATCTAAGAACCAGTTAGTACAGAATGGAGTTGTATCTTGTGGGACAATCAATTTCATTACTATGGAGCTGAAAGGAAGCCTTACTGACAGACATGATCAAGGAGGACAGCTTTGCATTGATTGAGCATGGGAGTATTATGTAAATTGTGATTAGCAGTATTTATAACCTTAGGTTTGTCTAACAACACTTGCATTTAATATAGAAAAATCATTTTTGGAGTGTGCATAATGTATAAAATGTGTTGATCCTTTTTTGCTTTCTTCAAACTAAGAAATTGGAGTATTGACAAGACAAATATAGTGCAGAAATTTTCTCACAGACACAGAGTTCTATACATAGCAGTGTTTAAGTTAGCCTGTCTGAAAGGCAAATGCCTGCAGTGAGAAAGTGCTATATTCTTTGCATCAGTGGGATTATGTGCTTTTAAAGTCAATTTTCTGAATGTGTTACATGAGACATGAGATAATTGAAAATGATCTATCAGAAATATAAAAATCAGGATTTTTTCATATCTGATCCATATTTACTCTGCTTTAATTAAAACTCTATTAGTTTGAGAAGTGATTTATGCAAGATTCAGTGCAATTTTAATTTTGGACTTTTGATTCCACATCTTTAACAACAGATTAATGTTGCTGCCACAATATATCATTAACAAAACATGCTTTGCATAGTTTGGAAGAGAGGGAAGCTGCGTGCAAATGCATCACAGTCTTAATGATTGTGGGAAATAGATTTAGTGGTACAAGAAAAATTCCATGGCATGACTTTTTGCCACCAAGTTCGTCCACTGAAAAGACCCTTCTCAACCTTCTACTTCTGTGCCTCCTCCTCTCAGGCTAACTGTGCATATCTCTGCATCAATGCCAGAAGCCTTCTTAAAAGGGCTGGCTCTAGGTCTTGAGGGTAGGACCTATGTAAGTTGAATAAGCTTTTGTGTTTAAAAAGCGGCTCAGGCATCACAGGGATTAGAGTAGCTGATAGTTCGTTAGACAAATAGTGGGATGTGGATACGTAAGCAGCCAATTGCTACTATCAGGAAGTGTTGTGAATGTGTAGGAATTTATTCAAGGTGTTTTAAAGGCAGCCACTAGCACACAGTGTCCTTAGGTGCAATGAAACTGGCGGCAGCAGAAGATGGTTGGAATTATTCCATTGCTTTCAGAGGCTGGAGGGGAATGGAAACAAACAAAAGCAGTAAAGGTGTGTTAGTGCAGTTAATCAAGTGTTAGTTTCTTAATGTTGCCTCCATTAAGAAACTGTAGCTGCTAACTAATGCTTCTCTATCCTGTGATCTGCTGCATGGATAAGCCACAAGGGCTGGAAAAGCAGAGTGCTTTGTTGTGCCAGAAAATGTGAGGACATCAACGAATATAAATATCTGAAGGGAGGGTGTAAGGAAGGCAAAGCCAGGCTCTTTTCAGTGGTGCCCAGTGGCAGGACCAGAGGCAATGGCTGAAAACAGAAACACAGGAGGTTCCCTCTGAACATCAAGAAATGCTTTTTCGCGGTGAGGGTGAATGGGCACTGGCACAGGTTGCCCAGAGAGGCTGTGGAGTCTCCATCCTTGGAGACATTCAGAAGCCATCTGGACATAGTCCTGGGCAAGTTGCTCTAGGTGGCTCTGCTTGAGGAAGGGGGTTGGACCAGATGCCCTCTGGAAGTCTCTTCCAATTTCAACCATTCTGTGACTCAGTGACATAAACGGTCTCAGTGCCCCTATATTAGTGACTGCTTACGTCTTACAATTGAACCAGGGTGCCTGCAATGTATGGTCTGAGCTGCTTTTGTCTAAAAGTAGAGACCAGATCTATTAGTAGTAGCTGGCGGTAGACATATTAGCAGCCATGTGTTCTTGTCACTCTACAGATTATATAAAATATTATTTTCTGTCTACCTGCCAGAGAAGAGACATCTATGATTTCTCATAAATGGGAATAAGTATTTTTTGAGAAAGCTTTTTGAGAAAGTTGGAACTGGTGTGAAATACAGAAATAAACATTGTTGTGTCTAGTTTCATGCAAGTACTAACTTGTGAGAAAGCATAGCAATCTCTAATTTTCACGTGAATCCTCTCTCATGAAGTTTTGCTAAGAATCCTATAAGATAATCAGAATCTGGCTTTCAACTGGAATGAATTTTATGGATTTAACTTTGATCTATGATCTAAAAATGGGAACAAGTTGCCAGGAAAATGGATAATTTTCCATCTTCTTGTGACATGGTTCTCAAATGTTCCCAGATTGTTTTTGTTACAGATAATGAGCTTGATAGTTTCTGTAGGAAATAACTACTTATTCTCTTCCTAGTGTAAGGAGCATGACCTGGCCACAATTAACCAGTTGCTAGAGGACCCAAAGTTGACGGCAATGAAGTACAGAGAGTGGAGGAACACAAACATCATGCTGATCCAAGATATCTATCAGCAGCAGGAGGCCCAGGATGTATCCACCGAGAATAGTGAGGAGCAAGACATGACTCCACAGCCTATCGCTGAAAGTGCTATCTGAGGCCATGGTTCAAAAGATTCATGGCAAGGTTTTCCCTCACAGGTCTTCACATACAGGCACTTTAAACTGCTGCATTTTTAAGTTTGTTTTTTACAAGTGTTCTTCGAAAGGAAAACAACCCCTTCTCCAAAGCTTTAATACCTCTTGCAAAACTCATTTTATGTCAAAAGGGCAAATCCCCCAGATTAAAAAAGCATGCCTGCACCTGGGCTGCATACCTAAGAAGACTATCTTATGAAGAAGCAAAGAAATGTTTTTCCATCTTTGGAGAAGTAAATTAAATATCTCCAACTCCTGGAAGTCACAGAACTGTATAATAGGTACAGTATACATGTGAGATCCTTGGAGCTGTTTTAACTATGTAACTTACCCCTAAAGGAAGCTAACACAGTGCCAGTAGGATGTAGTGTACTCTCTACTTTTTTACCCTGTAAGGTAACCTGATGTACGCATTTTCTTCTTTACCTTCACTTTCACAACTCTACAAGTTTAAACTCAGACAAGTAGAATAGTAATTATGCATGAGTTTATACTACGGACACCTGTCAGGCACCTGATTTGTGCTCTGCCTGATGTTTTACATGTTTCAAATTTATTTATGGACCAGACCAAGGTGTTGTCTTTCTACTTGAAGAAGAGAAGGTCTCTCAATGTTTGCTAACATGTAATTTACTCTTCAGTGAGGCAGCAAATGCTTCAACAAGTTTCAACTTTTCTTACGGACTTGGCAGAATTCTTTGGAAGATTATTTTCTTCTTTCTTGTTTCTGACCATTGGGAATATATGAGGTACAAGTTCATCCCAGATTCCTACTTGGGAATGTGATCAAGTTCACAAGGCAGAAGCTAAATAATTAAATTCCTGATGTGGACCTGAAAGTGTAAAACATAGCTGCAAATATTTTTGTAAATATATGTCATTTTATGGCTTATATGAATGTGACTATGTACTGTATATATGTTTTATTTATATATTTATATATGCTATATTTCCTAATGTAGATAGGCACACAAGGACCAGACCCACCCAGGTAAGAGTGCTTACAAGTTGACTTGAAATGCCTCTTTGGTTTTTTTTTCATTATGAATCACCGCAATGGTTCTACAGCTGAGACTACTCTGGGACATCTGCTGTAACTTTTCCTTCTGTCTTTCTAGCTTTGAGTTTTAGATAAAGAAAATCTGTACAACTTAGGCCAGGAAAATAATTTTTCTAGAAAGATTCAGAATTTTCATTGGGGGTAAAAAAAAAGTATGTTAAGAGGCATGATGTAGGATCATAATTTTTTGGCTTCATTGTCCTCAGAAAGCTAAACCCAACCCTGAGCTTGAGTTTTTTTATCCTTCTCATTTTCTGCATGGGTATAAATATGAGGAAGTTAGCAGAGTGCTGAATTTTAAAAAGGAAGAATTAGCCCTCCATTCTCAAATTAATATCGCTACAGGAACTGTAGCAATCTACTATTTTGTAAAGATATTCTTTGTCATTTTTTTCCAACACAATTTATCTTTTAAAGCAAAATACACTATACAGATGCAGACATATATTCATTAGTCTTTACACATTATATGTTTTATCACAACTTAACCGAGAAAACAAAAGTTAATAGTGTTAGTGGGAACATGTGAAATCTTTGCCACCTATATAGTGTTAAGTCTGACTGTTGATATTGCATTTTCAATGCTCAGTAGCTTTCCTTTTAAAATAATGGAATTAATGTCCCAGTGCATCCAAAAATGGCAGTTTAAGGCTGTATTGAGTGTGAGAATTGAGGAGCAGTTGGTAAGCTATAAGAAAAGGGAAATAGAAGGAAGGATATAGGCTCCTTTGATACAGGCTTTAATGGGAGAAGGTCAGGGGAAGTAGAGGCTGGTGGAATGCAGAAGCAGGGATTTGGGGATAGCCCCTGTATTTGACATGATGTCGATTAACTGCTAAGAGCACACTGAAAATGAGGGAGTGGAAGGGATTAATCTACTTGGTCCATCTTAATTTTGACTACCTGGTGCTAAATAACTGGTAAATAATGGAGGTCAAATTACATGTACATTTTCTCTTGCAAGCGCGAGTTCCTCATGAAACGAAGCATGTAAGCACCTTTTTTCTTCAAAAGCGTCTTCACTTAGATCTTAAAAACAAGCTCATACTTAAGTGGCCTGTCAAACTGGGCCAGATGAGTCAGTGCCCTGCAGTTCTGAGCAAAGTCCTAGTCGGCTCTGCTGAAGTAGATTTGCACTGTACAAAGGAAAGCATTATTTAGTCTGCAAGTGCTGAGCTGGCTCTTCTCACACTGTGTTTGTATAAGCATATACAAAAGAGGTTTTCCAAATATAGAGACAAACAAGTGCCTCTGAACTGCCCAAACTTTACTGTTGTTTTTGACAGATTACATAGCCTAAATTAGCTTTTAAATTACTCTTTTTCAGATGGTCAGTAGACACTTATTGTTGAGCTACTGATGTTTTGGAAACCTGCTGAGGATGGGTTTTATCACCCTTGTAGAAAAGAACAGAAAATTCTTGAATGGGGTTACTTTGATATTATTTTAGCAAATTTCTGTGTGTTCAGGAAAACAAATGTGTGGGGCTTATGCAGCTACAGTGCTGGTAGTCTATCTCCATTCTCTTCAGCTACTATTTAGACCTGAAACAAATGGGAAGTGTGGGAAATGTGAAGTGAAAATTGTAGCAAACCAGGATTCATTTCACAGCACTGCTAATCAATGTGACAGTTTCCACCTGGTCTAGGTTCATCACAAGGCGCTGAGCAGCGATGTGAAAGCCACAATCAAAGAAAGAAGTGTGCATAAGCTGACAGCTACAACTACAGAAGCAACAGGGAGCCACCTCAGCAGGAGAAACTTGAACAACTTTGTGCTCTGCTCAGTGATACTTGGGGTGAATGGTATCTGTTGGTCTGAATTTGGAAGGCCTGCACTATTGACTCATAGTGTAGGGACACTG